CTGCATACACTAATACACAGTAACCAAAGAGCACTATTCAAACATTCTCTACTTGTTTACTTATTTTAAATCTTAAAAAACATGCCATTTATCTCTGGGTTGAAAACATCACAAGCAAAAGAATAAGACCAGCATAAATGGAGACAGTTCAGTAAGTTTGCTGAACTGATCTATTCACTGGTAATTTTTTTCTAAATTAATATATGTAAGCACTTGAGTTCGAGGTGAAGTGCTTATGAGTTCCAGCTGTATCTGGAATTTGAATACCATCCTTTGCAGAAGTTCAGATATTACTTGTAGCCAGCAGGCAGTGCTGGTAAAGATGGAGTTCCAGTTCATTTGAGAAAGACGATTAAATCTCTCCCAGAATCACTGGATCTGCTTAAGGTATTCTATGCTCCAATGGGTCTAGTTTGTTCTGGCAAGGATATGGTAAGTAAGGTTCATGTTCTGATCTCGAGGGGTGCCTATCATAGAGATAGATCCCAGTTGATTAAGGATGTTAAATATTGGTTAATTGACTAGTTGATTAACATAATGAATTCTTATCAATTACTCCACTATTCCATAGCCCCATAGCAGGTGGGGCAGCAGCCAATGCATTCCAGCTCCACTCCATGCTGCTGCCTCCTGCCACTCCATGCTGCTGCCTCTGTATCAGAGAGAGCAGTTCAGGGTGCCAGACGGGAGCTGAGCTGCTGGCCACCCTGCTAAAAATATACTGGCAAGGGAGGGGAGGAAATGCATGTAAGCTGTAGCATTAACTGATAAGCTTTTGCTTATTGGTTAATCAGTTAATTGACTATACTATTACATCCCTACAGTTGATGTCTGTCTTTTGTTTTGCATGTTGAAACCGGTACCAGTACTGACAATATATGCTCCTTACTGCCACTTTTTCATGTTGAGATGGTTTATGAACCTAAATCTTTAGCATCCACACACAAGGACCTTCCTGACTTTGAAGGTGTCAGGGAGAATATCTTTTCTGTGGGACAGCTGTGGAAAAAAGGGGATTTATCTCTATCTTTGTGAGAGTGCTCTTTACTTCTATGAAAACTCTTATCTTGAAAGTCTTAGATTTGATTCCTGAGCTTGTGCTTGGAGGGGCACTATATGGAGACCAACGTACCAGGGAACTCCCAAGCCCAGATGTTATTGGGATCTTTTAGCCTTCCTCCATCAGATATTTTCTAAGTCTTAGCTCTCAACCCCCATAAGTTTTGGTGGAGAAGGAATGACAAATGTTGCACTTAGCCCAAATGCGAGTTTTAGGTAGATAATAAAAGCAGCATTGGTGTTAGTCACTTACTGAAAAGGAAAGGGAGCAGGAAAAACAATGTTTGAATCCTGGGACTCTAGACATAAGCTTATCCTCCCAGGGAAAATAAGTTACACTACTACTTATGACTAAAGAATCATAGAATACTAGGACTGGAAGGGACCTCGAGAGGTCATCAAGTCCAGTCCCCAAATAAAATACTCAAACTATTTACAATAAAATTACAGATAGAAGCAGTCAAAAGAAGCTGTAGAAGCACAATATTCTGGCTCAGGCTCAAGCAGGAGGAGGAACTAGAAATGTGCACCTTCCATTATGCCTCAGTTCTGAGCACAAGCAGAACTATGTATGTGCAGGCGAACGGACACCACTTGCTAAATATTTCTGGATTCAGGTGCCAAATATATACCCACCCTCACATCTGAAATACACTTAAATGCCATCACTCAAAGTGCTATTATATATCTATCTTTATGTTTTAGAAATGTGCCTGTCTGTTCATCTGTAAGTCCATCTGTTCAAGAATGTCTCCTAAACAGTAAAAGATAGGACAACCAAATTCGGTATGCAGTTTCCTCTTCTCCATGCAAAGTAAGGGTTTGGTTGTGCCAGAAAAATGTGATTTGCCTGAAATGGGATTGTTTTCCATAATACAGAAAGGGAGGGGGATGATTAGAGTGACAGTGATACTGCAGAGTGACAACTGGGGGCAGTAAGCATGGGGAAGAGCAATTCTGAAGAGTGACCACTGGAGGAGGTCACAACACCAAGAGAGTGGCCAGCTGGGGCCAAAGCTCACTATTCTTCCGGCCACTGCGCTGCCTCCTTCCCCCCTTGGCCACAGTACCAGATGGAGGAAGAGAAGAGGAGAGGCCTTCCTACCAGCCCCCCCCCCCACCCCTGCCCTGTAGCCTCCAGCCCCCCAACTTTGCCCTATATACTGGGCCTGGAGAGCACCACCAGAGCCAGCCTACGCATTCCCCCTCGTCACTTGGGCTGGGCCTGCCACCCCCCCAACTTCAGCCCCCAGACCAGGTCCAGAGAGCATCAGTCTATGTAGCCCCCCTTTCTTTCTCCCCTAGTTAGGGCTTCTCTCACCCCACTCCAGCTTCTGGGGACAAGCCAGCGGGCAGGGTATGCAACTCCAATGACCAAGGGACAAGCTGGTGGGTGGGGTGCATGGCTCCCTCTGCCCCTGGTTGGTCCTGGGAGAAACTGGAGAGTGGGATACACAGCCGCCCCTCTCCTGGGAACAAGCCACTGGGGCGGGGGGGAGGGGAGAGAAGGGACGTTAGTCCCTTCCATCCAAGGCCAACCCCAAGGGGAAAACAGGCAGCCACCCCTAACTAAGGACCCTCCCCTCTCGAGTTTTCCCTGCACTTCCACCCCAAGCCCGGAGCCCCTCTCCACCCCCTGCACTGACTACTGTATCCCCAGACTAAGACCCTACTTACCTCCAACCCTCACCCTCGAACCCCTCACACACACATTCCCAGAACTCTTCCAAGACTCTCCTCAACACTCCAACCTGACTCCTGCACTTTCCACATCCCCGAGCCCCCCACATCCCCTAGGCCCTGCCCTTACTTCCACACACACAACCCACAGCCAGCCCCCTGCCCTGAAGGACCCAGACAAAGACAAATAAGTCTTCTAGTAGATGCATAAGAAGAAATAGAACAGCAGAGCTGCTATTTGCACAACTTTAGAAAGCACTGTATATGGGACATGTGACATTTTCTTCTCATGCTACATCTGGTTATTAGGTTTAGGAGAACCTTCCTAATAAGGGGTGGCAATCTGTGGACTAAAGGGAGCCCAAGAAGAGGGACCCTGAATGAGAATGAGTGCCCTGGGACATAGAAGTACTCTTGCTTTGAAACGTATGCCACTGTGTCCTTCAACGCAACTTGCATGATGCTACGGCAAAGAAGCACATCTGGAGGAACTGAAACCTAGAGATTCATTCCTAACACCCAGTTCCAAGAGTACTGAACTTAAAGTGCTTTCCCAGGGAAGTGCGCACACAGAGTATGTCTACATTACAATTAATCACCTGTGGCTGACTCATATCAGCTGACTTTGGCTCGTGGGGTTCAGGCTAAGGGCAATTTAGCTGCAGTTTGGGCTCAGGCTGTAGTTCAAGCTCTCCTTGCCAGATCCCAGAGCTCAGTCTCCAGCCTGAGCTCAAATGCCTACCCACAGTTAAGCAGCTCCTTAGCTTGAGTCCTGTGAGCTCGAGTCACCTATCTGAAGGTGTTCAGCTGCAGTGTAAACATGCCCTTAGAGATATGACCATACACTCCTGTGCTGGTATTCAAGATCCAGCATAAGCTAAAGATGGAATAGAGGGGCCCAGAGATTGGCTATGGCCAAAAAGACCCCAGAATCCTGGTCCAGACACAAACAGTTATGCAATATTAGTTGGCATGCTAACACCACAAATTAAGGAAATTCTGGTTAAACATTCCCTTTAACAGCTCTGAATATGGAGAAAGGTCCCTTACACAATCTAGCCAAGAAAGAAAGGAACTGAGACGACTAAGGTTCATACAGCTCTTTTTATAGGTGTTTTCATAAACCAAAGGTAAATTTTCTAAAATGAGTAAAATTTACTTGAAAAATTGTATTATAATGAAGCAGCAAAAAAGTAGTTACAATGTCATTACAAAATGTCAAAAACACAAAAGTAGTATTATCTGTCTGGGAAGGGAAAAAGTCTTCATTTCTGCAATCATCCTGCTAAGTTCAACTGAGAAAGTAAAGCAGAGACTAACAATTCTTTTTGAAAGCATCTTCTTTATTCACTGAAGGTGAATGTAGACTGCAGGGTTTTTTTTTGGGTTTTTTTTGTTTTTTGAAAAATGGCTGTTTAAAAAAAAACCCTCCACTTACATCCACACTGCTATTGTGTTCTTTCAAAAGAAAATCGAAAGAACATAGGGGTTTTTTCGATATTGGTAAACCAAATTCTATGAGGAAGAACGCATTTTTCCGAAAGTGCTCTTTTGGGAAAAGGCATGTGTGGATGTGTAAGAGGGAATTTTCTGAAAGAAGAGGAAAGAGGAAAAAGCACAGGTGTCCTGGTGGCCATTCCAGCCATAGTAATCACAGCTTAAATGCAAGATAGCGTCCATTCAATGTGGACACTATCTTTCAAAAAAGCAGATCGCTTTTTCGATGTGCTTTGGCAGTGTGGACGCTCTTTTTTGGAAGAAGTTTTTTTTGGAAAATCTCTCCTGGAAAATCTTCTTCCGAAAGAAGCCTGCAGTCTAGACTTACCCTGAGACTGCAACATCTCTTCTGGCCTAGATTATTTATATACTATTTCCCCCCCTCCCCACCATAAGTACAGATTGGACCTCCCTGGTTCAGCACCCTTGGGACCTGACCAGTCCTGCCCTGCCACTGGCTTCCCAGCCCTGCCACTGGTTCTGCTTCCAGCCCCAGCTGGTCATCCTACCGAAAGCAAACCAGACTGCCTGAATCTGGCCCTGGCTTGGAGGACTGTCATGCGGCCCCTGTCTCCTGCTGGGCTCCTAGCTGCCAGCCCTCCTGCTACCTGACTCCCAGCCATCAGGAGTTTCTGGCCCAGGAATATCCATAGTCATGGTTTAGGGAGGTGCAATCTAGAGTTTCATGATGATGACCATAATAACTAAAACCTAAGAGCGAAATTAACAAAATGGGTGAAAGACAAAAAACAGATTGCACCTACTTCAGATTACTGATCCTTGTTTCTGTAGTTTCTGTAAGCTTCTTTGTTTCTTCCTTCCACCGGTTTGTTGCTTTTTGCTGGGCCATCAACAGACGTCTTAATTCACCAGTGGAATTTTGATTAGTGACTTCCATCTCTTTCAGTCGAACCTCAAACCCATGTTCCTTCACTAAATGCTCATGTTCCATTGTGCTTATCTACAATAAAAAAGGCCACCAACAGACAAAAAAGTTTGCAACTTTAGCCCATGAATAATTCCCCCAATCATAGCTTTAACTGTGCATATAGAAATATGCTCATAAGACCAATTTAACACACAGTACAAATGGTAATAAAGGGCAGTGAGGATTGTGATGCCTATGGTTTTATAAATTGAATATATGCTTTATTCTTCTCTCCTGAATTTGACAAATGGCTTGTATTCGTAGAAGATAAGTTCTTTCGGGAAGGGCTTACATCATGTGTGTTGTTACAAAAAGCTGTGAAAAAGTATAGAGGGAAAATTATTCTCCTTAACCTCTGATGATAGGACAAGGAGAAATGGGCTTAAATTGCAGCAAGAGAGGTTTAGTTTGGACATTAGGAAAAAACCTTTCTAATTCAGGATGGTTAAACACTGGAATAAATTGCCAAGGAAAGCTGTGGAATCTCCATCATTGGAGATTTTTAAGAGCAGGTTTGACAAAAACCTATCAGGGATATTCTAGAAGGTGCTTGGTCCTGCCATGGGAGCACAGGATACTGGTCTTGAGGTCCCTTCCAGTTCTATAATTTTTATGATTCTGTGTGTGGTTTTATGATTTTGTGTGTAATGAGTGCCCTTGAGGGACACCACTATTTATCTCTCTACATTCTGAGAACTGACCATTTATTCCTATACTTTGTTTCCTGTCTTAACTGGTTATCAATCCATAAAAGGATTGATGAAAGGACCTTCCCTCACATTATAAAAGCTAACAAGGACATTTTGAAAGATTCTGTTTAAGAAGTATCATTTAACTTATTAATAAACAAATTAATTATCAGACAGAAAAAAAAAAGCTACTTCACAAGTAAGGATTATTTGCAGGGCATAACTGAAAAGCATGACCTAAAAGTTGCCACACACAACCCAACTTTTTTTGTATTTTATCTTTAGTAAGGACCCATTTAACCAAATAATTCCACACTGTTTTTGTTTTGCTAATACCTTTAACTTAGCTTTCTGCTGTGCATCTATGGCCAGTTTCCTCAAGTCATCTGCTTCTTTACGCAGCTGTTCATTTTCTTGTTGAAGTTTTAGTCTTTGTTCACTGATAGAGCCAGAGTTTTCTCTTTCAGAATCCAGAATGCTTTGCAGCTTGCGAACCATTTCCTGGCAACGAGATAGCTCTTCCTCAGAGCTGAAAAGGGAAAACAAATCTCACTAGACTACCAATTAAGACGTTATGTCAAGTTCAGTCTCCATTTTCCTAAAATTCCCTATCCTTTTAATTAGAACCTTTAATTGTATAATGAAGGCCAAGTATTTACTTCTAAATAACTATGTCCTCTTCTTAAACACAAGCCATCACGTTAAATTAATTACATTAATTTGGATTTAGCCATGCAGCATCCAGGCTGAGAGATGCAGGAACACCACATTGGGATGAAATAGCCAACCTGACGGCAATTCTGGACAGCTAAGCAGTAACCAGGAATACACCACTGCAAGGTTACTAAGCATGCTGAACCAATGCTGGCGAGGCCATGCAGGGGCACCCGTAATAGTGTATGCTTTATCTTTCTTGATATTTGCCCGTGCCCTGCTGATAAGCAGAATCAGCTGAAATATGTACATCAAGCTCCCTGATCATGAGAGATGGAAGGTCCCAGAGAGCGATCACATGCTCAGACCTTGCCAAGAACAGAACTGATGGCATTTCTTGTTCTGTCTGCTGGTGAACTGGTTGACTTTGAGAGTTCCCCATCTCTGGAAGATTATGCAGGCTTCTTCTGGGTAGAATGACCACCCAGGAGAACTCCTTGCTGAATTGGTCCATTAAGTTGGTATTCTTAGTACCAGGAAGGCAACAAACTTGAGGTAGATTTTGTGGCTGATGCTGAAATCACATAAATGGAGTGCCTCTTGACAGAAAGCTGATGATAGCACTGCCCCTTGCCTGTTGATGTAGAACATCAAGGTCATATTGTCTGTCAGGACTCACGCTATGTTGCCGGAGAGGTGGGGCAGCAAGCTATTGTAGCCAGACAGGAACCCCACTGTAACATCCATCTTTTCTTGCCTGGAGCATGCAGGGCACACAGAGCAGTAAGCCTTGAACAGGAGGCTCAGGATATGCAGGCTGCTGTGACCGTCAATGGCTGTAAATAGAGATATGTCAATTGCTGACCAAGAGGCTGCTGAGGAGTGCCCTTGACTGAATCCCATATTGATACGAACACACAGCCGTTTGCTGGGGGAAGAATCTCTCGCCCAGTAAAAAAAAAAATGTCTAGTACTCACAATTTAGTTCTCTCTCTTGCAAGTGTAAATTAACTTGAAACTTGCTTGTAAGAACTGGCGTCACAAAGACAGACCAGTACAATTTGGCATCTTAGATAAGAAAGAGGATACGGGCCCCTATGCGTATAAAGGTGGGTCCAGCAGCACATTTACTCTGAGTGTCAATCTACCATCTATCTGCTGGTTGGGTTAGGTGTTTGACCTCCCGAGGTTCCACGGGGACGCCCACCTTGTATTCATCTTGCCTAGGAATTGAGGGACCGGCCCTGGCTTGACCCACTGGAGTCGAGAGGCACAGAAGGGGGTAAAAATTGTACCTGGATGTGGTCCTTTGTCTTAAGTGTACACACAGACTTAGAGTTCTTTAAAGATTAAGCTGTCACTTGGTACCATTATTTCTATTTTCTATTTTTATTTTCTTTGTAACCATTTTTTTAAGATCTATATTTGCTATTGAAAATGTCTTGGCCAGCTGTAGTGTCATGCATAGGCATGAGTTCAAGAAGCTCTTCAGTTAAATTGAAATAACCGTCCGCAACAGCACCAATATCTGTACTTTCATCGAGAGCAATTGAAAATGCTTCAAAAGTTGATGATTTCTCTTTTAATTGCTCACTTAAATCACTTGCCATTTCATTTATCCTCTCTGCAACTGTGTTCCATGACAAAGATATTTTGAACGCTTTCATATTTCCAGGACATACAATTTCAGCATTTTCACCACGCATGCTTTTATAAATTCACCTTCAGTGAATGGTTTTGACCTTCGCACTATTAATTCTGAAAAAACATAACTAGCTTTAACTGCAGCTTCATTGTCTCTTAATTTTTGTAAACACACTTTGCTACCTATTCAATGCTGTCTTTAATTCCAGTAACTTATCTTGCCGTAATTGCCCTTCTAATTTATCATACTTTTCTCGGTGGATTTCATAATGCCGCTTGATGTTATACTCCTTTGGAACACTGGTAATTTGATAGCATGCTAAGCAGATAATCTTGGCTTTCAGTTGAAAACAAAATAACAGTTCCCATTTGTCCTGGAAAACATGGTGCTCATCTTCAGTCTTCCTTTTTATGGATTTACTACTTTCTGGTTTTGATAGTAACATTGCAAAGGACTTCTTATAGCCTAAAAGGCATAAAAATCCATGATGAACGAAAATCACAAACTGATGGACGTGGCACAGAAAACGGCACAGCGCAGCATTGCGTACTGGTGACGTAGAGTGGGGCACCGAAACTCTATCTGTCCTACTCACACATACAAGTATGGCTTGGAATGAGATCATGTGCTACCGCAGCATTGCCTGTGTGCAACTTAATAGCAGCTTACGTCCTGTGCACACGTGCAACTTGAGTTTTTTCTTGGAAGATCCCGCAACCTTATACCTACTTTATAAACAATGTAACCAGGCGGATCGCACTTAGATACTTTCTAAACATGTAGTCACGAGATGCAAAAAAATTCAATCAGGCCATCTGAGGCCCGTGGGCTGCATGTTTGACATTCTTGCTCTAGAATATCATATAATGCTGCATAATGCTGCATAGCATAGCATATAATGCTGCATATTTTATAGCTTAAAATAAAAAGAATGATTATGACAACCTACTATTTCTACTTATCGATAAGAACGTGGAACAAAATACAAATATTAGACATAAGGCTTTTTAGATCAGATGGAAATATTGAATGAAATTTGATTAGGACATATCAGCTACTTACTTCATCTCCAGTTGTTTAATTTTGTTTTGTGTTGTCTGTAGACACAGCTGAAGGTCATCTTTTGTACGTTCTGCTATCAGACACCTTTGGTGAAGTTCCTCCAGTTTTCTGTAATCACATTCACTTCCTCTACCTTCACGGTAAATCTGAAGGTCAGGTTTACATGTAAATCTCATTTTATCCCACAGATTTCTATCAGTATAGCATCTCTGACTACATTAAGTTATCCATTTTCTTTTGTTTAAATTTCCATTATTGAATGTACTTACACCCTTTGAACCATTTTAAACAAGTCTTACTCCTACTTGTTTTTTATATCTTCAAAATAGTTATAAGCATTTATATTCACAGTTAGACATACATCCTGAACATAGATAATACAAATATACTGAATATGTGCTGAAAAGCTAGTTAGGACTTTAGAAACATTCTCTAATAGTGGGGGAGGGATAGCTCAGTGATTTGAGCATTGGCCTGCTAAACCCAGGCTTGTGAGTTTAATCCCCTGAGGGAGCCATTTAGGGATTCAAGGAAAATCTGTCAGGGATGGTACTTGGTCATGCTGTGAGGGCAGGAGACTGAACTTGGTGACCTTACAAGGTCCCTTCCAATTCTATGAGATAGGCATATCTCCATATATTAAAAGCCATATTTTGCAGTTCAGGTAATGTAACTCCAAAATGTATTACAAATATAAAATATATTTTTCAATTTCCTTTTCAATTTCCTTCACTGGATTTATAATTAAATCATAGAATCATAGAATAATAGGACTGGAAGGGACCTCGAGAGGTCATAGAGTCCAGCCCCCCGCCCTCAAGGCAGGACCAAGCTCCGTCTACACCATCCCTGACAGATGTCTATCCAACCTGTTCTTAAATATCTCCAGAGAGGGAGATTCCACCACCTCCCTTGGCAATTTATTCTAATATTTGACCACCCTGACAGTTAGGAATTTTTTCCTAATGTCCAATCTAAACCTCCCCTGCTGCACTTTAAGCCCATTACTCCTTGTCCTGTCCTCAGAAACCAAGAGGAACAATTTTGTCCTTCCTCCTTGTGACACCCTTTTAGATATTTGAAAACCGCTATCATGTCCCCCCCTTAATCTTCTTTTTTCCAAACTAAACAAGCCCAGTTCATGAAGCCTGGCTTCATAGGTCATGTTCTCTAAACCTTTAATCATTCTTGTCGCTCTTCTCTGTACCCTTTCCAATTTCTCCACATCTTTCTTGAAATGTGGCGCCCAGAACTGGACACAGTACTCCAGCTGAGGCCTAACTAGTGCAGAGTAGAGCGGCAGAATGACTTCACGAGTTTTGCTTACAACACACCTGTTGATACAACCTAGAATCATATTTGCTTTTTTTGCAACAGCATCACACTGTTGACTCATATTCAACTTGTGGTCCACTATGACCCCAAGATCCCTTTCCGCCATGCTCCTTCCTAGACAGTCGCTTCCCATCTTGTATGTATGGAACTGATTGTTCCTTCCTAAGCGGAGCACTTTGCATTTCTCTTTATTAAACCTCATCCTGTTTACCTCTGACCATTTCTCTAACTTGTTAAGGTCATTTTGAATTATGTCCCTATCCTCCAAAGAAGTCGCAATCCCACCCAGTTTGGTATCATCTGCAAACTTAATAAGCGTACTCTCTATCCCAATATCTACAACATTGATGAAGATATTGAACAGTACGGGTCCCAAAACAGACCCTTGAGGAACTCCACTTGTTATCCCTTTCCAGCAGGATTTAGCACCGTTAACAACAACTCTCTGACTACGGTTATCCAGCCAATTATGCACCCACCTTATCGTGGCCCTATCTAAGTTATCTTTGCCTAGTTTATCAATAAGAATATCATGCGAGACCGTATCAAATGCCTTACTAAAGTCTAGGGATATGACATCCACCGCTTCTCCCTTATCCACAAGGCTCGTTATCTTATCAAAGAAAGTTATCAGATTAGTTTGGCATGACTTGTTCTTCACAAACCCATGCTGGCTATTCCCTATCCCTTTATTACCTTCCAAGTGTTTGCATATGATTTCCTTAATTACCTGCTCCATTATCTTCCCTGGGACAGACGTTAAACTGACTGGTCTGTAGTTTCCTGGGTTGTTCTTATTCCCCTTTTTATAGATGGGCACAATATTTGCCCTTTTCCAGTCTTTTAAAATATAAAAACACAAAACCTATGCCATTTTACTCAATGATACTGGTAAAAATGGTGAAATACAAAATTACGACAATGTTACACAAAATAGGAAAGTTAAAATGTAAAATTGAATATCTGCATTCTTACTTTCTCAAGTTCTTCTTCCACTGCTCTCTTCTCTCTAATGGCCCGTTCAATTTGGCTCTGCTTGTCTCCGCACTCCTACGAGAAGTAGGGATGTTAAAATGTGTTTAAAATTACGTAATTTTGTAACTGCTGAAAATTTCAGAAGAGAGAGAGGGGAGGGCACATCAGCTCCTGCCTGCCCCCCAAAGCTGCTGCCTCTGATATAGAGCCAGCAGTGTGGGGGGAGGAGGCAGAAAGCTTTGCAGGAGCAGATACACATGGGGAGCTGGCTTAAAACCCAGCTCTGTGCATGCACTGGCTCTTGCCTGCTCTCCCCCTGCTGCTGCCTCTGATACAGATGATACAAAGGCAGTGGAAGGCGGGGGAAAATCCTTCATCCAACCATGCACGTTAACCAATGAACCCAGGCTCATCAGTTAGCTGTATTAATGGTTACACTAATACAAAGCCAAACCATTTGTTAAGGATGTTAATTACATCAAACCAAAAGAACAAGAATGAATGCTAAAAGAAAGTTAAGGCTGCTAAGAGAAAAACTCCAAAGTTAGGAAATACTAAAGCTAAAAGGTTGCTCATGCAAACTTAGTTCTCTTTATTACTGCATATGCATGGCCAAGCTGCCTGCTGCGTGGAAATGGTGGACATCATGGAGCAAGCCCCTGAGTCTGCCGCATCCAAAGCCACCTGCAGTGCCACCATGGCCACAGAGGAACCTTCCTCCAGAAGGGCCTTGAACTCTTTTCGTAGGCCTTCTGGGAGGGAGGTCTCGAACTTTGTCATCGCCTACCATGTGTTCACTTCAATACGGGCAAACAGAGCCTCGGTGTTCACCACCCTAAACTGGAAGCTGGCTGAAGAATAAAGTTTCTGACCAAACAAGTCCAATCATTTGGAGTCTTTATTCTTAGGAGTGGGGGTGGGCTAGCCCTGGCACTCCCTATGGTTTATAAATTCTACCACTAGGGAAGTACTCATGGTCCTTGACAGGGACAAAATACTTCCACTGTGCTATGTGCCCCACTATTGCCTCATCTGCTGAGGAGGAAGAAGAAGCTTTACCGGACAGGCCTTCCTCTGAGGGGTGGGGGGAGGGATGAGAGTTGGTCACCCATCACATCGCCTGTCTGGAAGGAGACTGGTTCCGCTGTTTAGCCTGGTTGCCCATAAGGAGCTGGGGACAACTAGGAAGCTTACAATGCTACAGCCATCGAGTGATTGAGCTGAGGTTGAACCGGAAATCCCCAGGGGGTTGGTGGGCACCACTGAGCCTGCCACTATGACTGAGGCCACATGCCCTGCGACAGCACCTCTGGTACTGAGTGTGGTGGCTCAGAGAGCTGTGCAGAGGTTTGCGCCAGAGGGATGGTGGTTGAGCCTGATGCAATACTGCAGAACTGAACGCTGTCCAACAACCATGATGAGGATTGTGCGGGGCAGCCTCCCCAATACCGTGACTCCACATCCAAGAGACCCTGATGACCAGAAGTGTCATATATCCCTGCAAGGATTGCAGCGCCTGGAGGATCTACTCCTCATGTGCAAGTACCAGCGTTGTGTAAGGGAACTCCAGTGCCGTGAGGAGGATCAAGCACAACGGGATGTGCCATGATGGCTAGAGTAGCTTGGTGCCTGAGAGTATCATCATCGTGGTGAGTGGTGCATAGAGAAAATGTCCTAGGTTGACGCAGAGAGTAAGGGGATTGACTTTCCCTGTGGTGCTATTGGTGCCTGGGGGAGGGGGAACGGGGGGCATGTGCCTCCATAGGTTTCTGTACTGACTCCAGCAACGCGGGAAAACATGTGTCCTGCTCTGGTCTCTCTCCCTCAGACCTCAGTAGACTATGAGACACTCTCCTCTAAGACAGAGAATGCAAGCGGGACCAGGTTGTGCTTGGCGACCAAGGGCCTAATGGCAGCTTCCCTCTAGGCTAAGCCTCAGTCAGTGCCAGGGATGGCGGTACAGGTGTGGTCCATATATCCTGGGTGGCTTGGAAGGCCTCCAGTGTGGAAGGAGACAGACCTCCAGCACTAGGGACAGTGACTGAGAGGGGGAGCTCACTGCCGCCTGGGGCTTCTCTTGTGGCCTACCAACAGACTGGTCACTCTTTTTCCTCTTGTCCTTATGAGGGACTTATCACTGCCCAACTTACTTAGGCCCTTCGCTGGGGCTGGTAGTGATGAATGGTTCTGAGCCACTGATGCTGGAGGAGAGCTGCACACTGCATCAGTGCACAGTGCCGAGTTCAGCTGCTGGTCTTGCGAAACTAGTGTGGACTCCATCAGTAACATCCAGAGCTGCACTCCCCTTTCTTAAATAGTTCTGGGACAGAAGGACCTGCAGATGCAACGCTTCTCCAATATATGTCTTTCCCCCCGACAACGAAGACAATTAGCATGTGGATTGCTAACCAGCACAGGCGTGTGGCACACGGCGCAGCCTTTGAAGTGAGGCTTCCAGGCAAAGTCTTTAAAATGAATCAGAATGCTAATAGAACTATTTACAGACAACTATAGGTACTTAACTAGTGAAGATAACTATGTACAACAGAATAGGTAAATGAAACATTAGCTACAGCAAAGGCTGAAAATGCTGTTCCTAGCACCATCACTGGTGGCAAGAAGAAGCTGAGGAGGGAAGGGCTGGGGAGTGCCCTAGATAGTGTGGCTTATAAGCATCACTCCAGGGGGCACTGGGACCCCAGCCCCTATGAGTACTGCTTAGGGAAAAACTTCCAGCACAGGTCTATATGGCAGGCACACACACCTATGTTGAATGGACATGACAGCAAGAACTTGAAGATGAATCTACTGTTTTAAACTTATTTCTGCAACAAACAAGATACTTGCTTTGTAGTTTATTTGTGCCAAGCACATATTGCTAAATTTTGTAACTTTAGGTTAAGCATATATACTAACTATTCTAAAACCATGCCTCAGCTAGGTCTCATGCTAATTCTTAACCTTACTACCTACAGAAAGCCTTGTACACTTAATCTTTATTACCTTCTACTTGCATTACTACTTGACAATTAGATGTTAGTCAAAAACACATTAACATATCATTTATAAACTAATCCACAACTGCCTGCCACTAGATTTCAAGCATATTGCAAAGATATTTCCTCATCAAGACATTCTATATTCTCCTACTTGCATAACATTCCTTAAGCCTCTTCGTATTCTTGTCACACATGTATAATAATGGAAAAGCTTCTAAGCAAAGGCCATCAAAATGAGGTTGGGGTCAAAAGTGAAACACACACAAAGGTGCACACACAAATAAGAAAGGGGAAGTCCCCATGGGTGCTCCACTGTAGGTGCTGGGCTTGTCCTGGCGCCGTAGATCAGAGATTCATCAGCAGTGGTCTGCCGGACCGCGCATGCGCATCAGGCACCTTGTGCCATTTCTTAGAGCATGCGGTCTGGCTCCCACCAGTTCCTCCTAATCACCAAGTATCTGAAAAACATAACACAGAAACTCTGATGCAGGGAAGAGGGCAGGTAGTGGAACACTCATAGGGACACACATCTCAAAGAATGGTCGTTATTGCACCAAGGTGAGTAACTTCCTCTTCTTCTTCAAGTGGTGTCCCTGTGGGTGTTCCACTGTAGGTGACTTCATAGCACTGGCCCGAAATAAGGAAGGTATATTTAGAGTTAAAGTTTCGTCGCTGTGGACAGCATTGATGAGGCAACTGCTGAGTCACTAATTAAATTGTTGGGAATAGCATAATGTTTAGCAAAGGTGTAATTAGAGGCCCACATGGCAGCTCGACAGATGTCACAGAGGAACTCCCTTTAGAAAGGCTGTAGGAGCTGCTACTGCCCTGGTAGAATAGGCTCTTGGTGTCTCTGGTGGCGACCTGTTCTGCAATGAGTAGCAACACACTATGAACAAAATGATGAGTTTGGAGATGCATTTTGCAGAGAGAGACTCGCCTTTAGAACGATCAGCCATCGAAATCAACAGTCGTTGAGCTTTCCAGAAAGCTTGTGCTCTATCGATGTAAAAGGCCAGTGCCATATCTATATCTAATGTTTGAAGCCATGCTTCTCGGCAGGAGGAGTGTGGCTTGGGATAGAAGGTTGGAAGGATGACAGGCTTATTGATGTGAAAATCTGAGTTTATTTTTGGTAGGAAGGCTGGTTGAGGGTGGAGTATAACTGCCTGACTTGTTAATACTGTATAGGAAGGTGTAGCATAGAGAGCAGTGAGTTTGCCTACCCTGAGTGCAGATGTTATTGCTAACAGGAAGGCAACCTTGTTGGTTAATAGCAGCACGGGGCAGATCGCCAAGGGCTCAAAGGGTGGTCGAGCATCCAAGACCAAGAAGGGCATCCAAGAGCAGTTCTAAATTCCATGGTTAAGGCAGCTCTCTATGTGATGGGTAGAGATTTGCCACTCCTTTTATGAACCTCCTAGTCATTGGGTGAGCGAACACCCAATAGCCTTCCCCTGGGTGTTGGAAGGCAGTGATCGCAGCAAGGTGAACCTTGAGAGATGACCGTGCTAGACTGAAATGTTTTAAATGCAGGATGTAGATGGGAGCAGAGGTCAGATCTAGACTACTGTCCGTGCACCAAGAACGAAACCTATGCCATTTGTGCAGGTAAGTAGTCCGAGTGGTGGGTCTTCTATTCAGGATCAGGACATGTTTAACATCCTGGGAACAGATCATTTCCGCATCTTGGAACCAACTAGGAACCTCGCTGTTTTGTCTCCCAGGGATCTTGGTCTAATACCCACTCTGGAGCAGAAGTACTGGCATTTCACATTTTGATGCATGGTGAATAGGTCTATGGTCAGGAAGCTCCAGAGACAGAAGATATCTGTATCACCCGATAATGTAGTTCCCACTCGTGGTTCGTGACAAAGTACCTGCTGGGTGCATCAGCAGTGGTGTCGTCTTTGCCAGGTAGGTATGACGCTAGAATAGTTATGTCATGGTGGATGCACCAGTTCCATAGACGTATTGCCTCTGCACAGAGGGAACGCAACCAAGCTCCTCCCTGACGGTTTATATAGAAAACCGTGGTCATGTTGTCAGTAAGCACCCTGATGGTGTGGCCTTGGA